AATGGGAAGTTCTCTTATTCCTCTCTAACTGATTTTACATCACAGGCTCCACAGATGCTGTCCCAAGCCTTAGCTTCTCCTCAAACCTTTATCTTGACTTGCTGAAGGCCTTGCTTCCTGCTTTGCTGTGAAAATAACCTATTCAGTATGAGCTGCCTATGCTTCTGAATGCTCAAGAATTCTTGACATCATTTCCCAATTTCTCCTCCATACCCCACTCTCCGAGAACAAGGTGGCCTTTCTCCTTGCTAAGGCCAGCTCTTTTCTTCACAAGCCCTTGATCTCATCATCTTCACTCCTCTATCATTCCTTCTTTTGTTCTTAAATCATAGAATCTTTTCTATATACTGATGTCTATAAACACGAGCCAATCTCCCCATCTTTAAAAACCCTTCATTGGACTCTACTAGCCCCTCAAGTAACTGCCCTGTAGCTCTCTTCTTTTTCAGCCAGGCTTCTAGAAAAAGTGCTCATACTTCTTACTTCCATGGCCTTTCCTTTCAATTTGGCTTCTGCATTCATTCAACTGAAATTGCTCTCTTAAAACAGACCGAATGAACTGTCAAGTCTGATCATTTTTTCTCAGTCTTTATCTTTTTTTTTTCCTTGGTGAGGCAATCAGGGTTAAGTGACTTGCCCAGAGTCACACAGCTAGTAAGTGTTAAGTGTCTGGGGCTGGATTGGAACTCGGGTCGTCCTGACTGCAAGGCCAGAGCTCTCTTCACTATGCCACCTAGCTGCCCTCCTTCTTCCTTTCTTATAGCACAACTGTATTCTATCACATTTACAAACCATAACTTGTTTAGCCATTTCCCCAATTTAAGGGCTTCCCCCTTCAGTTTTCAACTCTTTTATCACTGCAAAAAAGACCTGCTATAATTATATTTGTATATCCTCAGGTAGTGTTTTGCTTAGGACTAATCCCTTCCTTAAGTACTCTCCTTTTAACTTTCCCATATCCCTTCTCCTCTCCTGTTTCCCTATGGAATGAAATGTATTTCTGTACCCAATCATGTGTGGAATATTCCCTCTTTTGATCAGTTCAAATGGGAATGATGTTCAAGTGTCAAAGACCTGCCCACCCCAGGATGAGGAGGCTCAGAGGGGACACACGTATCATTTCTTAAATATCAGAATGGAAGCATAGATTATCCTTAGTCCCTTATGAGTGCTCACTCATTTTTACTCCTCTGTTTGAAGGTCAAAGGTTTGACATAGTTCTGGTCTTTTCATCAGGAACACTTGAAAGTCCTCTATTTCTCTGAAGGTCCCCCTTCCCTCTGTATGACTACACTCAGTTGTGGTGGGTGAGTCACTCTTGGATGTAAGCATATATACTTCACTCTCTGAAATATGGTAATTCAAGTTCTTTGCTCTTTTAAAGTGATGTCTGCAAATCATGGGTTATCCTGACTATGGCTCCTTGGTACTTGAATTCTTTATTTCTGAATACTTGCAGTATGTTTTTCCTCTGAAGCTCTGGGCTTTGGCTATGGTGTTTCTGTACATTTTCAAAAATGTTGTGGATCTAATACATCTGGACAGTTTTCTGCTTAGGCTCTTTTGATGATCATGGATTTCAGGTAGTTTGATGACATGTAATTTTTTCCTTCTTGATCTATTCTCCAGGTCAGTTGCTGTTTCAATGAGATAACTCACATTTTTCAGTCATCTCATTTTGCGTTAACATTTCTTGTTGTTTCACTAAGTCATTGGCTTCTATTTGGCGCACTCTAATTCTCGGAGAAGTGGTTGCTTGTTGTTGTACTTGTGCCTAAGTTGTGTTTTTCACCGAGGCTTTTTTTTCTCCTTGTAGATATTTCAGAGCCAGCCTCTTCTAAGTCTGTCTTGAACGTTCCTTATGGTCATAACAGCTTTTGTGGTAGGATTCTTTTTTGTTTGCGCCTTCTTACATCTTAGTTGGAGACTTCAGAATTTCTATTAAAGTGAGGTTTTGTGTTGGGTAGGTGGTCCTGTTTCTTTCTTGGGATAATGAATGTTATATTATTCTAGCATTTCAGGGAGAGCTCAGGTTGGGGGTGTGAAAGCTTTCAGTACTTGCAAGGGCAAAGCCTAATTATTGTCCCTCTGGGGTGAGCTCTGCCAATTTCTAACATGGGTTTGGGTCTAAGCAACACACCTATTGGCTTGCCCATGTAGAGTTCCAGGACACTGCTGTGGGACTCAAGCACCAACACCTAGCTGGAAAGCGCTACTGCTTTAGAGTGACAGAACAATGGGCTTCCCTTTGGTCTGGGATGCCTACCCTGCTTGTTCTCCTGTAGGCTTCAGACTGAGCTAGAGGCTGGAAATGAGACCCTACTCTGCTCCCGAGGCCACAACCTGCTCTTTGCTAGGTATATACAGACTATGGCCTAAACCTCTTCTCAACCTAAAATGCCACCCACACTTAGGCAAAGTTCCTCTCTTCTATCCCCTTCTATCTATGGCCTGAGATTTGGAGAGAGACAGAGCACCTAGTTGGCTCTGTTCTGATGCCCTACACAAGTTTAGGAGCCTCCATGTAGGATCTGGAACCTTGTCTTACCTTGGTACACAGCCTCTCCCTGTGCTGGAATGCTCTTGGGTAGACCCCATGTCTCCACACAGATCTCTTTTTTTTTTTTGGTCGGGGGGGTGTTCCCATAATTCAGTCTGGTGCCTTTTTTTGGATCTATTTAGGAGATTTTTTTTTCCCTGTGTTTTATTTTTTAGGGGGGTCAGGAAGAGGCTCATGGTACTTCGTTCCTCGTGATACTCTGCCATTTTGGCTCTGACACAACTATGGTTTTCATTGACATTACTTTAGCCATTATACAAATTTTTCTCTTGGTTCTACTTTTTTCTTTGGCACCAGTTCAGTTTCTCTGAAATCCTCAGGTTCTTCTTCTTATGGTACCATAATGTGCCATCAAACATACACTATACAACATGTTCAGTCATTCTCCAATCAACAGGACTCTTTAAAAAATGTATTGGTTCCCTGTGCATCTTCAGTCCTACTGAGATACTTCCTATTCACTCTTTATCAAAATTAAGATTTTTTGGTGTCTTAAGAATTTTATTCTCAACTCAACTGTGCCGAATAGAAATTTAGACCATGGAATCCTACCATCTTCTCCTTGATATTATCTTCTCTCTAGGTTACTGTGAAACTATTCTACCCTGGTTCTCCTCCTACCTATCTGATCACATTTCCTCAGTTTTTGTTAATGGATCTTCATCCAAATCACTAACCTTGAATGTTCCAGAGGCTTTTGTTCTGGGCCCTGTCCTCTCCTCCCTAATTCAAATGGTGATCTAATCAGCTCCCAAAGATTCAATTATCAACTTTATGCTAATGATTCACAAATCTACTTATTCAGTCCTAACCTATCACCTGTCCTCCTCACATCTCTAACTGCCCATGGACATCTTGAACTGGATGTACCACTAACACCTTAAATTCAACATGTTCAATACTGGACTCGTTAACTTGCTCCCAAAACCCTCTCCTCTTCTTCACTTCTCTTTTACTGTTTAGGGCAAACCATTCTCCTTTCCATATGCTGTTAAATGCTCCTCATCACAATGAAGGAAATCAACCAAACCCAGAAAAAATAGATTTCTTATATACATTGGGGAGGAGGGGGGGGGAAGACATAAGAATTTAATACTGAAATAATCCTAGGAAAGTTAACTATTATATCTCAAAGAAGGCTCACCTGGTAACCCAGGCTCACAACCTAGGTGTGGTCCTTGTAAGACTCCCTACTTTCTCTTACCTCCTACATCAGTCAGTGGTTGAGGGCTATCATGTCTATCCTGGCACCATCTCTCGTATACGCCCCTCCTCTCCTCTGACACTGTCCCCACTCTGGTGCTGGCTTGCATCAGTTCACATCTAGACCGTTGCCATAGGCTTCTGGTGGGGCTCCCTGCCACAAGTCTCTTCCTCCTGCAGCCCATTTTCCACTCAGCTATCAAAATGATTTTCCTGAAGTGCAAGCCTGACCATATCATTCCCCTGATAAGATAAACTCTAGTGTAACCCTATCATCTCTTTCTAGGATCAAACTTAACACTGTTTGGCATTCAAAACCCTTCAAAACACACATCTCCACCATTTTCCAATATTCTTACACCTTCCCCAGCCCCCATATACTCTGTGAGCTAGTAACACCAATCTCTTTGCTATTCCTTGAAGAAGACACTCTATCTCCTAACATAGCATTTTCATGGGCATGGAATGACCTCCCTCAAATCCTAGATAAAATCTTGCCTTCTACAGGAAGATTTTCCTGACCCCCCTTAATTCTAGGGCCTTCTTCCCTCATCTTCTATATGGCTTATTTGTACATAATTGTTTGCATTTTGTCTTCCTCATTAGACTGTGAACTTTTTGAGACCAGGGAATCTCTTTTAACTTTTTTTTTTAATTCCTAGCACTTGTTACAGTTCTGGCACAGAGATAGTTGGCACTTAATAAATGTTTGTTGACTGACTGATCATTCTTTCTCTAAACCTTTTGAAATCTGTTGTACCTAAAATCTAAAGTGCATGCCTGACTATATCCAATTTTACCCCCTCCTTCTTTATAATAAATTCTAAGGTGAAATGGTAGCTCTCCCAACAAGGTTTCATTTCATCCCCAGAAATCATTCCTCTTAGTAAAATAAGAGAGTTTGGTTGGCCTACAGGAAGGGATGTGGTGCAGCCAGAGTGGCTTGGGTTGGAATCTGAGTTGATGGATGGCAAGCGGCAGATGGAACCCAGATGCTGGGGCTGGGCAGGAAAAACCATGATTTAAGAACAAACATTTGCAAAACTAATCATTTTTCCTCTTTGGACAAAGAGAAACATAATACAAATGCTATACTCATTAAAGAAATAAAGGTCAGTCAGTTAAGAATCTATGAAGCACTTAATGTGTGCTAAGCATTGGTGATACAGAGACAAACACAATTAGAACTCTATCTGACATAAAGACTGAACTCAGGTACCATCACTGTCATACTTACTTGCCGTCTGTATCTGAGGTGGCTGCATAGTGCAGAGGTGTACAGCCTCTCTCATCCAGGTCATTCACGCTGGCTCCTGACCCCACGAGAGCAAACAGGCACTGGTAATTACAATTGGCCGCAGCATAGTGGAGGGGTGTTCTTCCATGTCCATTTCAATAGAGAAAAGAAACAGATACCAGTAAACAACTTCAGAAATAAAGGCGGATTTTTACTAAGTCTTAACTGTTTATAGACACATAGAGATTATTTAAGCTGACGTTATATAATTATTTAAGCTGACGTTATATAAGTTAATCTCCCTTTTGTAGAAGGTTGATGGTGGGCTAGGTGGAAGATCAGAAAGAGAGAAATCAGGTAGTGGGGGAGAGAGAAAAGGATATTCCTGTTCTAAATGCAGAAAACTGAAAGGAATATAATTTACACTGTTCTTAGAAGCTCAGTGTTCATTTCCTGAGTGAACAGAGAGGACTTCACTCTAGTAGAGAAACCTATGAGACTGGTAGAAACTCTTAACCCTTTTTCTAGCTGAAAAGAGTTAAAAAAGCACGGCAAGAACTCTGTGATATCAACCAGATTTCTTAAACATAAATGGGTAAGTATGAAGACTTGACAATTCAGAAGAATTGCAGTTGGTTTTAATGTCAAAAGAATATCTGCAGTCAATTTTTTTCTTCGCTATAATATTTGCAGAATGCTATCAGAGTATCAAAATTGCATAAACATTAGGAATGAAAAGAATCAAATGAAATACTAAGGTAACAAACAGTAAGGAAACAGTTTTCATGGAATCATTTCTTCTCAAACCTCTATAAATTTATTTGACAGTATAAAAAACTTCATTTCCTTTTACTAGAAAGAGAGTTTTAAGTCAATTCCAGTTACCTAGGTAATTCCAGGCTTAGGCTTCCCTGAGCACCTTGAATACTCTTCAGCTGCCCTCTATAACCTTTCAGGAGCTACGTGCTCAGGGGATATAGACTAATTTTAATTTCGGTCACATTAAGGGATAATTAAGAAGGTAAATCTGCTACAAAAGCATTATATAACTACACACGAATCCATAAAATTAATTTTTTCCATTAGCACTCATAATTAAGAGCTCTTTATATTGCATCTCAAATAATTTTGAAGTCATACAGATTCTTAATCTTTGCTTTCCCTTCCTAAGATATTAGTTACTATACTCTACTTTTATATTTACTGCCTTAGTAGAGAAACCCAATCACATTGTCTTAAACATATCCACACATCCCTCCTTACAGAAAGCATATGTATAAATGGGACAAGCACTGAGTGGGGTGCCTGGCTGGTTTATGGTCGTCCTTCCTTGCCTAACTGATAACAAACTAGGGACATTAAGTTTTTGAATGTTTTCCCCACTACTGGCTTTATAGAGCCAGAATTATTTGCCTGAGTTTTAAAGAAAAACATTTATTGTGGCAACAGAGAAGGTGTTCTTAGTGTCTGAATACTGTAGGTTTTTGGAAGAGGGTGACAGGATGGTATTAGGGACAGCCACTCTGGGTTCTTATGAAGTGGTGACCCTTCCCCTAGTTAAAGTCAGTTCTATTGTGTCCTTGATTGCACACCTTCTTCCAGGCTTCCTCCACGAACTTTGACGACTCTCCTCAGCTGCATTTTCTCAATGCCTTCTCACACGTTAGTTATTGACAAACAAGCCATCTTCCATGTCTCCAACACACCTTCCTTGATGCTGTCTCCTCCAAAAAAAAAAACGACTATTCTATCTGTCAGCTTCCTTTCTACAGATGAAGACCTAGGATAGGGGTGGGGAACCTGTAGTCTTGAGGCCGCAGATCCCCCACCCCTATGAATCTGTACACTCTCAACGCCTCGACTTCCTAACTCTCTTACTCACTTTTTAACCTCGTGCAATCTGGTTTTTAATTGCTAAATGCAATGATCTTTTCCCTCTTGAAGTCTCTCTGCAGCTTCTGACACTGCTGACTGTCCCCTCCTTTTGGACAGTCTCTTGTGCCTTGCCTTTTCTGATTGTACTCTCTTCTGGTTCTCTTATCATTTGTCCCTCCGTCCCTCTCAGTCTCCTTTGCTGAATCACCAATCATGTTCCACCCTATAAGCAAGAAGGAACCCCAGGGATATGTCCTAGGCCCTCCAACATTTTTTACACTCTTTCTTCATGGTCTCATTAGCTACCAAAAGTATAATTAAAACCAAAATGCAGATGATTCTCAACATTCACAGCTTCAGCCCTTATCTGTTCCTGAGCTCCACTTTTACAATTCTAGTTACCAGATGGACATCTTCACATGGCTGTCAAACAGGCATTTCAAAATCAACACGTCCAATGAAATTTGTTCTATTTTCTCTAAAACTTCCCTCAAACATCTCTAGTTCTGTTGAAGGCACATCCATCCTTCCAAGTCACCCAGATTCCCATCTTTGGAGTCATTCATTCATTCATTCATTCAATCAATCAAGTATTAAGCTTTTACTAGGTACCAGTTACTGGGTATCCAAGTATAACCAACATCAAAAAAATCCCCACTTACAAGAAATTTAGACAAAAGGAGAATGCAACAAACACACACCCACACACACAGAGCACAAATATATACTGAATAAATACAAATATATTCAAAGTAATTAAATACAAAGTAACTTAAGAGGGAAGGCACTAGCAGTTGGAGGTAATCAAGGTAGCCTTCATGTAGAAGGTGGTGTTTAGGTTGCATCCTAAAGGAAGGTGACAATTAATTGGACAAGTGGAGTGATGGAAAGTTCAACATAACACAAACTTGAGATACTGGATAGATACAGGAGTGGTTTGCCATTCCCATCTCTAGCTTGCTTTGCAAATGAGGAAACTGAGGCAAAGAGTTAAGTGACTTGCCCAGGTTCACACAGTAAGTGTCTGAGACCACATTTGAGCTCAGGAATATGCATCTTCCTGTCCAGGCCTAGCTCTATCCACTGTGCCCTGCCAGCCACCTCACGCAGGCCTCAACCTATTCTTGACTAGACTACTGTAACAACAGCATTCCAACTGTTTTACTTCCAGTTTTTCCTCTCCCCAAATCTTCTTCCACATGTCTGCCAAAATAATCACCCAAAAGCAGAAGTCTAACCATGTCGCTTCCTTGTTCAAGCTCCCTATTGCCTCTAGGATAAAATAAGCCTTGAAAATCTTGACCTGATCTGGCTCTAACACATTTTTACAGACCTATCTATCACACAAGCTATGTTCTAGCTAAGTGCTGTTTGCCCTCTGGACTACCTTTTGTCTGCACAGACTGTGCCCCACTGCTGGTGATGCTCTCATCTCCTGAGAACCTTCAAGTTCTTGTAACCCCTCAGCTTCAGGGTGAAGGTGAGGCACTAATTCTACAGGAGGCCTTTTTGACCCTCCTGGCTTTTAGTGTTCTCTATTCCAAAATACTCTGCTTTAGATCCAAAGTAGAATGCAAGCTCTTTTCCCTGAGGGAAATGACTATGCTGTTTTTGTCTCTGAATATTCCAAACCTAGCACAGTATGCCTTGGATCCAGTTGGTGCTGCTAAATATGTGTTTCACTGAATTAGCCACACGTGAGTGTGTGGTTAGGCTTCAGTCTTTTAAACTCTCATTAAAACCCTCAACGACTTACTCACAGATTGCCCAGATAAGCACTGCTCACTCACTTAGAACTATTAGCATTAGAAATGATCTTTTCTGGTTTCCATGTTATGCACATTAAGTCATAAATAGCATTTTTTTTATAAAATAAAAAGGAAAACGAATAAGTCACAAAATTAAAATAAATAAAACATATCACATCCTACCTCCCAAATCTGTCCTTTTTGTTGAAGTCTGAGCCAGTATTAAGTAGAAGATTTAGGCACTCCAAATTCCTAGTAGTGTCAAAATAAGTTTAATTAAATGTCTTGCAAAAGTTTTTTAAGAAAACTCTTTCAACAACAACATGTTATAATTATCAATTATTTTCAAGTTGAATTTAGATGACAATGCTCTTTACAAATATGAAATATTAATGGATGGCAGAAAAAAAGTCATAGTTTTAAAAGGGCACCTTTTATAACAACATAGAATGGAACACGTTAATGGATATTAAAAGATAAAACTTGTGCTATCTAAACTTTTAAAGTCACATGTTATAAAATGAGTTATAATGTAGGTGTAATGTAGATGAGTACCTTCTAATAAGAAGGAATCTAAATATTACATGTACTTCAAAATATTTCCCCCTCTTATTTTACATGCCTTACAAATACAAATTACACCATAGTTGCAGAATTTACAATTACTTTTAAAGTATTAAATGATTAAATACTTTAATACTTAAGGTATTAAATACATAATACTTTATTTAATAAAGCATAAAATAAAATACACACTAAATCGGGTGTTTTTATAATTTATGTCAATTAAAAATTAATACAAAATATGAGTTTGGGGTTAAGATTCTTGCAGAACCACTTTTTAACAAATTACTGAGATAATTCGATAGGTCTTGTATTTTAAGCCAACATATCAGCCCTTGAATAACAGCAGTAGGAAGGTTTTCCTCACTGCAAGCAAAAGGACCACACATACAATGGTGTTTTTGGGTTCTAACCAAACTCAATAGACCTGCTGTGGCCAAAGGACAGGGCATACTCCTATGTAGGGAAGAAATGGCTGGACAAGGCAGGTTGAGCCACAGCACAAAAGATATAGGCTAGAGAACAGGACCCAATGCAGTCATGGGAGTTGGTGAGGGTCTGACATCATTAGAGGTGTACTTCAAGAAGACTAGACTGGTTGCAGTGTATGGAGGGTGGATGGAGAAGAAAAATTTTAAATGAAGGAACGACTTAAAATTAAAAAAAAATAAAAATTTTAAATGCAGGAGACACTGGTTTGCTAAAGAAGTTTGTTCAGTTCAGTTTGGCAAGTAGCAGGATATGTTAAAGGGTCAAATCAATGGTAGATAGAATATGTTCTAAGGGAACAATGATAGCATATGAATTTACGAATGAGTCATACATTTATACAACTAGAAATATTACATGTAATCATGAATTCAGACCAAGAAATGGGTTTCATTTTAAGCGGGCAGACTTTATTACTGTCTTCACTTCTTAAAGAGAAATAAACCTGATGGCAATTCATGTGAGTATAAAAGAAACCAAGAGAATCTTGCTAAAGGTTACAGTCATTCATTGTCAGGAGTCTGCAGTGATTACTGCACCTCGGACTAGCTGGTTTCTCTAGTCTGTGATCCATCCTCCACAGAACTACCAAAGTCATGCCCCTCTGGCACAGGCCTGACCACATCATAATCCTGCAGGCTCCAGGGGCTTCCCACTGCCTCTAGGTGAAAATAGAAATTCCTCTGCTGGGCACCGAAAGCTTTTCACAATTTGCCTTCGGCCTAGCTTCAAGTATTTTGTACTTCAGCCAATCTGACGTACTGGTTCTCCCAGGTCCCAGTCAGCCTCCCTGCATCTCCTTGCGTTCGCACTCTGTTCTCACTCCACCTTCTACCTCAAAGCTGGGCTCAAGGAGTCCCCTACCACAGGAGGCTTACACTGCTCCTCCCCCTCCTCCGCTCCTTGCTGTCACTTGGGATTTACTCTTTCCAACAAGACATGAGCTTCTTTAGGAAGGGACAGTTATTTCTGTCTTTGCATGCCCAGTCCCTACCTAGTAGGTGCTTGAAACATGGCAGTCACTTAAATATATGTGCATATGTACAAATGTGCAATGACATGGAACACTCATAAAGAGGCTGCTCAATTTTCTTTTGGTGCCTGTTTTCTATAAGAAAAATAATTTTTGGACTGGAAAAGAGAAAATACAAATGGCTAACAGCAAGATGAAGACCTAAACACATTAAGATTATATATAAGAAGAAGAATAGAGGCCTTTGATAAGCTCATGCCAGTGGATCAATAGGAGTTACACTCCAGGGAAGGAAAGAGCAGACAGAGGTGACCAGAGGACCAGGATCAGCGCAGTCCCCTGACAAGCTCATCAGACCCCGGCTGTGGCTCCGTGGTCACTTCGGGGATCCATACTGGAGGAAGACTCTGGACAAGCTGCAGTGTCCAGAGGATGGTGAACTAGATGCCAAAAGGCCCTGAGCTCAGATTACAAGAGGATGAGCTGAAGGAATTTCAGGTGTGCAGCCTACAGAAGGAGGACTTGCCGACTATGTTCAATTATCAAAAGGACTGTCAAGAGAAGTCACCTTGTTCTGCTGGACTCCAGAGGCCAGAAGAAGCTATTAAGAGGCAAAATGAAGCTGGCCATGAGAAAAACTGGCTAATGATTCAAAAGGAGAACGGGCTGGTCTCCAAGCACAAGACAACAGGTGACCCTTCTGCATCCTAACGGGGGCTTCTGGTTCTGCTGCAGCTTGGACTTGAGACTCTCGGGGGGGTGCTTCTTCCTCAGATGCTGTGAACCATAAACGTCACAGTATACAGGCACCTTTCTGCTTTTTCTATGGAACATCTAAAGACCTGAGAACCAACGACTGTCTAGATCCATAATGCTTCCAGTTCCTGAGCACTGCGCCCCAACGGGTTTTACGTAGTTCCCTACTCCTTGTTTTCTCTATCTCCTGCTTCTTAGATCATACACTGGAAGCTCAAAGGATCTTCAGAAATCATCCAGGTCACGCTTCATTTTTATATGTGAAGAAACTGAGGACAACAGGTTGTTAAATCCATGTCCTGTTGGCTATTCATCCCGTGCTCTCTCCTTTCCACTCTGCTTCGCTGCCACGTGCTTTAGCTATCAGAATACAGTGCTCTCCCATGCTGACTTTCTTTTTCTATTTAATTCCAGGAACTTCTCATCTCCTATGTCATGTTTACTGACAAGTGATAAAAGCAATGGGAGAGAAAATTGCCATGGCCAGATTTTTTTTCAACACATAAAAATTGTGAAACATACCCTCCAGCTGCAGCAGCATGAAGACAAGTCCTGCCAAAATCATCTGGAGTATCTATGTCAAATCCTAAAGAAACAATTAACTCTTTAGTGATATAAAACATAAACCAAAGTTCTGCTAAAATAGTCCAGGAAATTTTCATGCAAAAGTGTCATGCATAACATATCACTCATAACTTCAGTATCTGTAAAATTACTGAACTTGATACATAACTCCTTAGTGATACACAACGTTAGAAAGAACCTTCTATTTTGTGGTGATCCGTTGTTACTGTTATTTGAGGTTTCAGACAAGTTCTAGAAAAGCTTATTTTTTCCCCTAGATGCTTTACTTTACTTCTGGTTCCCAACAGGAAGAAGATGAAAAGGTAACAAACAATACTCTCACTCATGCTTGTATATATTATAATTGTTATTAGTAAACAGTAATAATCTAATCAACAAACAGGAATTAAGTTACTTTAATATTTATTGAGAAATATCAATAGAGCAAGCTTCCAGAGTAAGAAAAAACACCTAAACAATAAAAATACCTGAAACAATACCTCATCTACTGCAGTAATTTTTAAAACATATTCAGAGACTTTCTGGGGGCTTATTTTTAGCTTTGGCTAATCAGCATTCTGGACCACAACTTTTTATGGTATGCCTACCTGACTCCAAGACTGATCATACTATTTTAAGAGTAAATATAGGTCCTTTGGCTGACCTAGTTTGCGAATATCTACTGATTTCTTGCTCTAATTAACAGCATAAACTCTCCTCGGAAAATGGAAAGCTGTTCTCTCTATGTCCTTGTTTGATGAGTTCTGACGCACCAGGTAGAGCACAGAGATCCTGACCTTTGTGTGTCACAAACACTTAGGCAGTCTGGTGGACCCAGCAGGATCCTTCTCAGTTGTCCACGTTCATAATTGAAGGAAAGCCTAAATTTCAGTCAGCAGTTAGTGAAATAGAGTTGCCCAGTGTCTCTGATAAAAGCCTCATTTCTCAAATATATAGAGAATTAATTCAAATTTATAAGAATACAAGTCATTCCCCAATTGATAAATGGTAAAAGGATATGAATAGGCAATTTTCAAAAGAAGAAATCGAAGCCATCTATAGGTATATGAAGAAGTACTTTAAATCATTATTGATTAGAGAAATGCAAATCACTACACCATACCTATCAGACTGGCTAATATGACATAAAAGGAAAATATTAAATGCTGGAGGGGATACGGAAAAATTAGGACACTAATGCATTGCTGGTGGAGCTGTGAACTGATCCAACCATTTGGGAAAGCAATTTGGAACGATGCCCAAAAGGCTATAAAACGGTGCATACCCTCGGACCCAACAATAGCACTTCTAGGGCTGTATCCCAAAGAGATTCAAAAAAAGGGGAACAGCCTTATTTGCACAAAAATATTTATAGCAGCTCTTTCTGTGATGGCAAAAAACTGGAAATTGACTAGAATCCCAACAATTGGGGAATGGTCGAAAAAATTGTGTTTGGCCATTGGGTATTCCATCACAATACAATTGTGATGAAACACTATTTTACTATAATATAGCATATTGTACTGTGTTATAAGAAATTATGAGCAGATGGATTTCAGAAAAACTTGGTAAGACTTACATGAATTGATGCAAAGTAAAGTGAGCAGAACCAGGAGGACACTGTATACAGTAATAGCAATACTGTACGATGATCAATTGTAAATGACTTAGCTATTTTCAGCAATATAATGAACTAAGTCAATTCCTAAGGACTCATGATGAAAAATGCTATCTACCTCCAGAGAAAGAACTGATGGATTCTGAATGCAGATCAAGGCACACTATTTTTCACTTTCTGTATTATTTCATGTTTTTCCCCCCTCTTTGGGTCTATGTCTTCTATCACAACATGATTAACAAGGTAATAAATTTTGCATGATTGAACATGTATAACCTATATCAAATTGCTTACTGTCTCAAAGGTGGGGGAGGGAGAGAGAAAATTTGGAATTCAAAAAAAATTTTTAATTAATGTTAAAAATTATCTTTTACATGTGCCTGGGGAAAAAATATTTTTAAAAAATAGTTCCTCTTCTACTTTGCACTTGTATATCAGTATAAGATGTGAATTAGAAATAATGTAGAAAGAACCAATAGTTGTCTCTTTCCATAGAGGTTAGAGAAAACAAAGATGGAGTTGGTTTTCTCTTCTCCTCCATCTAAGTTTTGTAGACCCTCTGAAACCTATGTAGAGAACTCTGGACAAATATGGATCCCTGGCTAAGAAACCTCGATTGTAGATGGAAATCCCACCTTGCTCTCAACAAGACAAAACAGTTTATTATACTGTGCATCTCATCATATACAAAAACAACACAACAAACTTAACAACTGGACAAGGATTTAGAACATAAACAGTTCAAACTTATTTCTTCTCCTTGGGCTGTATTTTATTTTCAAAGACAACTAATTTGTATGAATAAACGTAGCAGCCAGAAATACTGACATTTTTCTGTTAGCTCACATAGACTTGTGGTTAATTATATTCTTTCCTTCTTTAAAAAAAATCCATTTTTAAGCTCAAAACTTCAAAATTATGGTGGGAAAGAGCTGGCTTTAGCCATAAACAGAATAAATAGCCATCCTATTTAAATAAGAAAGGATGCCTGTTTATATATTATAGTTTTGTTAAACAAAAGATACCAAAATTCATGATTTGCTTACCTGAAGAAAGAAGTTTCCTACAGCAATCTGAAAAACCACTTAATGCTGCCAAATGGAGGGGGAACATTCCATGTATACCCCGCCTAAAGCAGATATTATGGTACATTGATTACAACACTAGTAAAATACAAGCATTCTATTTTCTAAACTATCTGGGGGGAGTAGGATAAAAACCTTAGTACCAAAAAACAGACACCACTCTGAGACTCAAGAAAACTACATTTTTCATGTGCATTTCAGTTTTGTTCAATTAAAAGAAGTTTTGAAAGGAATAACTTGTCTTTATTGACCTATATTCTCTTGCAGATTAAAAATAATGAAAAGGTGTTATTATAATCACAAGATAAACATGACTTCAAAACCATACAGTTAGTTCATGTTTGGGGGCATGGGGAAGAACAAAGGTTTACTTAAAATATAAAAATTTACATGATTTTATTATCTCATATAATCAAATTAATTGACAATAAACCTAAAATTTTAAATCACTGTGTCTACACCCAAGTAGAGGGAATTCAGGCAGACTGATAATCAAGCAACCACTTCTTTGCTGAAGTCCCACAACTACCTTTCCCTGAAATAACTAAACGGTGTTGTAATGATTTATTTAATTTCATTCTGTATTGTGTAATCAGAGTCACTATCCAACTTGAAAATGACTTACTTTGCTGTGTCAGCACCACTTGTAATGAGAGTGTTGATAAGTAGCTCATGGCCATATCGAGCTGCTATGTGCAACGGAGTATTTCCATTCTTATCTTTGCAGTCTATTTCTGCTCCTACAATAAAATACATCTAGTCAGGTCTACACGGATGTATACAAGGTTATATTAGATAGCAAGGAATAATTTCTGTTTTGTCTCAATTCTTTCTAATTCATAATTGATACTGATATTCAAATACAAACTAAGATAGCAATTCTTTATAACCAGATTCACACATACTAAAATTATTTCAGTAAAGATGTTATTCAAAAGATTTAACTCTCTGCAAATGGCTAAAGACCAAGCCAATTTAATTCAAAACAAATATTTATTAGGTGCTGAATATGTTCCTGCTATTAAAAAAGGATGACTACTGCTTTCTTAGAACCCACCATGACATTTTAAATTAAAATATTGCAACTAGAAAATGCAAAACAGACAGACATCAACACAACAATAAAACAATTTCTAAGTAATGACAAAGAAGTAGATCTATCTCCCATTGGCTAAAACAAAGAAATCAACTTGAAAAAAGAACGGTCAATATTTAAGATAACTTTTTCTATATTCTGGTAAGAAAAACACAACAGAAACAATTTTTTAAAATTATATATTATATAATTAAAAAACTAATGACAACAACGAGAGATATATGAAGTACAGCATTCTTAATGTTTAATGGGATTTGAAACCAAACTCGGAGATATGTGTTCTGCTATGGTAACAGCTAACATGCAAATGTCTTTTTTTAAAGATTAGTTTAAAACCACATCTGAAAACAGAAACAAAAATACTTTTTACCACTCTGGATAATGGTTTGTGATCTTGAGAATCTGCCGTGGATTGCTGTCATGTGCAATGGTGTCTTCCCATCTTTGCTCTAAAAATATAATTAAAAAGAATAGTTCCTCGATACTAGTTGTATTGTATGATACACATAAATATGTAAGTATATTAACAATGGCTAGAATTGAGGCTGGATTTTTTGTGCATAATTATTGTGTGGCTTTGAAATACTAAAATTTGAATTAAGATACTCAAAAGTAAGCTAGCCGAAATAAAGAAAAAAGAACACACACAATCAGGCCTCAACTCAGGTCATGGTTAAGAAGACAGTGGAATACGTATGGACACAAATTTCCCAGTTTGACACTTTAGAGTGTGGAGCAGGTTCTATCAACATCAGCTCCTTGACCGGATAGGAACCAGACACTAATTTGCCAGAACAAGTGAGAGCATCATATGTGTATAACTTTTTCCTAGCTGAAGACTCAAATATCAGAAACTGAGGTGTTCCAAAGGGATGAAGTATTGCTATATAAAATACTCCCATGTGTGGGATTTAAAATAAGCTCAAAACTATTCTAACAAAGGCTATATTCAAGAACAAAATGTACAGATTTTACTATAACACCTCTTCATATATGATTAAACATTGAGATCCTGTTTTAAGCATAAAATTCACTGCTGAGATGATTAAGTAAAATGTTAAAGAAATAAAGTAGTTTTTTATAAAAGTAGTATTTTATAATACTAGGCTTGAGAAATTTTAAAAGTGAAAGCAATTAAGTCCCTGAAGGGCAATGAAAGATCTTGTTGTCTTTAAACTTTCGTATTTAAAAGAAAATTCTTACACCAGGAGCTGGTGAAAAGCATTCAATTACCTAGTCCACTAAGCCTATCATTCAATCATTACTAGACTGTAAATACCTTGGAGATAAGGGGTTGGAGGTTAGGAGAATTGTATAGTTTTTTCTATTTTCTGATCTCCAGAAACCAAGAAAGTGACTAGCAAAAAGCAGTCACTTAACACGTTTGCTAAACTAAAGCACCAACTTGTTATTTATGAAACATACATTTTTGCAACATATACATGTTGTTACCATTGCTATAAAAATTAAAATTCCAAATGCAAAGGCATTATTAATTACAATTTTGTCATCAACATGAAATTATATCAATTTTATTACCGGAACAAAATTTAGTGTTGGGTACATGAAATCTAAATGAAAGAAATGAAAGAATGCTACTCAACTTTGGAAAGGGGGGGAGGGGGAAGAGAGAGAAGAGATTCACAACAAAGTAAATAATGTCCTCTATCTTATTTCTCTAAGTAATACAATTTTCAAATTGTATTAGTTTGTCAAAGTCTAAGCTTTAAGAACTGTAATTGTGAATTGTTTCCAATTAATTTTATTGAACTGAAGGCTAGCTATCATTACAGGATTTGTGGTTTTCTCCATGTGGTGACAGTCTTTCTACTGATGCAGCTGACAAGCCTTTTTACCCTTGGGGATGAAGTACCCCAATTCATGAAACTGTCCACTAAGGTGCAAAGAAAACCTCCCAAAGAGCTAACTGGTTAGAGCTGACAGCTCCATGGTGGGCCATGTCCTCAAATCCTGGAAGGAGCTGCTGGGCTCTATCAGCTAAGTTCTTTAAGAACCCAGTCCTCATAAACTTTCATGCTAGGGAAAGCAGGCTTTAGAGAAGGCTCTTTATTTTACAGCAATAAAGTACAGACAGCTGAAATGTAAATAAAAAGTAGAAGCCACTCCAGCTATGCTATAACCAAAAATAACTTTAGAAATTGTCTCCAGGTGGGGAGAGAAGGCAGCAATCTGAAGGCAGGTCAGAATGGGCCACAACAAATATTTGTGCCCACCAGGACGTGGAAACTCAGTGGCCCAAGTTGTTTTTCCTGGTATCCAGGTTACTGGATTTGACTTCTATTTCATCTAGATGTTAAGGTACTTCAGACTAAGAATAATCATCAGATGGCTCTTCATGACTGTAACTAGATGGGTCAGTAGCAGCAAGCCATCTGCTCTAGAACGACAGAGACAAGAGGCCACATAGAAGCCTCTCTCATTCTCTGGGCAACTGCAGCTCATCTCCAGGATGGAGATAAAGACTGACGGGTGGAGACACTCCCTCTACCAACTCAAGTCAGCATCTAAGAAGTTAAGAGACTTGCCCAGGGTCCCAGAGACAGCGTTCTGTCAGATGGGGGGCACGGGACCTCAGTATTCTTGGTGTTACACACTGCATTGTGATCACACATGTCACAGGACCATTGAAAGGATCAAATGAGATATCTGTAAAGCTCCTAGCACAGTGCCTGGCACACAGTAGGTGCTCAAGAAGTGCTTGGTCCTTTCCCCTTTCAGAGATCCTCAAAATTATTCCATGATACCTTCCCTTCTTCAATGGGATCCAAAACACCGGAGTACAGAAGAGTGACTTAGCAGATTGGCAAAAGAGATTCGTGACCAACCTTTAATCAGAGGGCTTCCTGTTTTTGAGGCTTTGATTTGTTTGTCAATTCTGTAAGTATTTAGACTTTCATTTTCTAGTTATTTTTGCAGGCCACGGACTGGCATATGACTGCACGATAAATAAATCCTGAAGCAATCAGTGATGCTTGAGGTTTTGGTAGCATATTTCCCCAGAGAAAACAAAGAAAAAGGACCCCTCAGTGATACTTTAGATTTCCTCAAATTACTAAAATTAAAGTATCTTCATGAAAATGATTTTGTACAATTATAGACATCAAAAGCTACTCTTTATACACATTTACAACTCTGATGTAAATATTTAACTTAAGAATAGTGACCAACTTTCAAAAGTAATTTAAAAGACTATACCTTCATGTTCACGTCGGCCCCATTCCCAACTAGGAGCTCCAGACACAGGGCGCCATGTGTTGATGCTGCAGCAAAGTGTAAGGGAGTAAACCCTTTCTCATTCATTTGATTCACGTGAGCACCACAATCTATGAGTTCATTCACGACCACATCTTGTCCATTATAGCAGGCTACATGAAGAGGTGTATTTCCATAGGCATTTGGTTCATTCATCTATCAGACAAAGAAGAGAGATGGTGAGCACATTTGTAGTGATCCTTTCTATACTTGCAATGCTGGACGCAGAGGGAAGAAGGTCTGGGTTCTAATACAAAGCAGTCTAGCCTAATTTCTTTAAGGCTCAGTTTCTTCTTACATAAAATAGGGATAACAATACCTATAATATCTCGACTAAGGGTCTAGGGAGCACTACACTTGGACTCAGAAGACTTGAATTAGGATCCCCTGCTTGGGATACTGGCTGTGTGACCCTGAGCTACTGCCATAAATCTGAGTCTCAGTTTCCTCTTCTGTAAAATGGGAGTAATTAAGCCACCTCTCTTACAGGGTTGTGATGAAGATCAAATAAGATAACAAACACAAATCTTAAAGCACTGTACAAATGCTAGCTACTATTCTCGACCCTACAGGGTTATTGAGAGATTCAAAAGACCGACTGTAAACAAAACACCACTATATACATGACACTGGACAGAGAAACCAATTACTGTCAACAACTAACTCTTGGAGGTGGTGGTTATTATCCCTACTTTACAGATGAGTAAATGCTGAAAAATAATCAAGTCACCCAAGTCCTAAAAGGTGCAGGCAGAACTCAAACTCAGGACTTCTGCCCCTTAAATACACTATAACACACTGCCTTTTATGAAAGACAGGAATACTTGTAGACCTGAGGAAAAATACTTCTGGAATGGCCAATTTTTAAAAGAGTTTTTTTTTTTGGTAAATAACTGTTAGTGATAAAACCGTATTTTTATATTAAGCCACAGAATAGCAATAGCATGGAGAGAACTGGATTTGTATGTATGCATTCGTGGTTTTATGGATTGTCTATAAAACAGAATGATTAGGGAAAGTCTAGAAAATTACAAAGCAAATTTCTTAAAAATATTTTTAAAAATAATAACATACTCAGTGAATCTCACAATTTTTCCTAAAGACTTACTTGTGACATTAAATTAAAAGTCATAAAATATATGAACTAAGGCCTTATGTCTAATAGCATTACCAATCACATTTTTCTATTAATAATTAACCATTTCTCAAGCTAAACAATCTATTTGAGAATAACTTATAATTCAATTCAAAGGTATAAACTGAAAATTCCAGTGTCTCTATAATAATTTACATGTTTTGTATTTCTCTAAAGAACTCCCAACAGATTATTTGCAATAACATATTCAAGTATGAATGTGTGTGTGTGTGTGTGCATGTGCTTGTGTGCATGTGCCTGTATGTATGTATGTATGTATGTATATATGTATGTATGTATGTATTGACTTAAAATTAAAAATACAAGAATGGAAAACAAATTTTCCAAATAAGTGTAATCTATGTTATATTTTTTTTATTTGCCCAATTCATGTGAAGTAAACGAAATTTCTAGATACTTTCCAGACTTCAAAACTTGGCATTTTACAAAAAGGCAAAAGACTTTTGTTTTGGAATGAAGAACTAGCTCAACCAAATGGAAAGGCTCCTTTGAGTTCTGTTTCAATGCTTTGGGCGGTGTGAGTTCCACCAATGTTGTGCTCATCGTGTTCTACTGGTACTACCAATTTTACTTCTTTGTATTTTCTATCGCCCCTAGTACCTAGTACACAGTGATTGACATTTAGACTGGGACTTAAGAAATGCTTGTTAAATGAATGATTTAGTTCAACATATTTTTGTACAAAAAAGTTCATTCTATTTAGCACCACAGAATTCACTTGCATAAAGTTGTAAATATTTGAAAAATATAAATGATTCTAATGAACAGTTTCCCAAGTATTTTGTTATTGGAGTCTTCAAAAATAATATGCTTGAGCTTTCTGTATTTCCATTATTAAAGAAATGTTGTGCTATATTAGCCATACTTTGGTTAAAGAAAAACGACAACAAAATGCTTAAACTAAGGGTTCAAAATAGGTATTAAATGTACAATGTTCTTTTCCATTAGTTTACTTAAAGATTATATTTAAGTAAATTCATACTCTGGTTGTTTCCATATTTAGGAAATATATTTACCCATATAGCAAAGATTTCATACTAAGTATGAAAACAAAAAACTAACAATCTTAAATGTGTTAAAATATTGACAATGAAATTAAAAGGCATTAGTCAATTAAAAAAACCTTAGTATAGGAAGCATAAAATTAAGTAAATGTATTGCCTGAAAGGATGTTTTACTTCAGAATTCAAAAACATGACTTAACAAATGAAGTTTTTGAGAAAACTTATTAAACTGAGCCTTCATCTTTAAAATGGATGTGAAGATAATTTAAAAATTGTAAGAGGACACTGTTGTCAGTACATACATCCTCAACTGCCTTCTTTCTCTTTCCTAATTTCCTGCTTTTGTGTTTGCACATAGCTCATAAACTCAAGTTAGTTAAAATTAACACAAGAAAAAAAAGCCAAAGCAGCTCTCTCTTTTGGGTACAGCACAGAAACTTGTGTAACATTTTTTATTTGCTTGAAAAGGTTTTTTGCTTCCTCCAATTGTCAGCTATATTTCAGATGCCTGGAATTGTTGGGTAAGTGATGTATTTCTAAGAGGGTATTGAATCAATCATAATAAAACTAGCTTTTTTGACAAATTGTTCAATAGGAAGATAGAATCTCCTGGACCCTACTGCAGAAACAAAGGTGAAGAACTTAGACTGCATTAAAAAAAATTTTTTTTTCCAACTGAAGATACGCATCCTAGAAGAACACTTTAGGGTACCTTTTATCTCCTAAGTAAATATACTTACTCAATTTATACTTTATACTCAATTATCTTTATACTCAATTATCACTGAGTAGCTAAATTGCAAGATAATCCACTACAATGTAAGCTCCTTGAGGGCAATGACTGTCTTTTGCCTCTTTTATCTCCAGCCCTTAGCACATACCCAGGCACATAGTGAGTATTTAATAAATTGAACAGAATAATGGCTGTTTTCACACTTCAAGATCATATTCAGCAAAAGTAAAAACTTGAAGAAGCATTTAAAACATGGGGAAAATGTCTATATTGCAGTGACCAATAATACAAAATTTTTACTGTCATTTTCAAAGCTTCCTTGTACTCACATCAACACCAAGATCTAGAAGATACTTCACGACACTGATCATTCCACTAGAAGCAGCAGCATGAAGAGGTGTATAAGATTTCTTATCTTTACATGTGACTTCAGCTCCATGAGCAACAAGCAATTTCACAACTTCAATGTGACCTGAAATTAATGGGTAAAGATAAATAGTCTAATCTTTTTCATTGCTGTATATATCAAGGATGATAAAGTAATAAATATACAATTTGTTTTCCCCAAACCCACTGTTTTTATACATACATATGCATATATAGAAAATCACAGGATATGTATGACAATAAAGGCAATTGGGTTTCTAAGAGGAAGGTGGGCATAAAAGTAAAGAACTGTTATTATATGTGGTGGTATATGCACATATTAATTTGAAGTTTATGCATAATCATATTTTACTATGACTAACAGGTAATCCATAAACCTTCTAAAATGGCTTACGACACCAGTTATTATTTATGATCCTAGTTTAATTTATTTAATTATTTAATAATTATGATTTCTTATACTTTCCAGCTTAAAATGTAGAATTCCGAGTATTCCTATATTATATAATAGTGATACTACTTGACCGCTCTATTTTCCAGCATCTTTGATATTCTACAAAAACCTGTAATGACCTGGGCCAATTTCTTGAATAGTTATTAGTAAACATTCAGTACCTGAATATGCTAGAAAAATTTGAAACAAAAACCTACTACAGGAGTGAGGGAAGGAAAGCCTTTATTATGCTTCTCAAGAGAAATGGGCACACTGCACTCTAATATGGCATGTGCATGCTGGTTCAGCAGTAAGAATCAATTCTGAATGGTTATATTCCACCCACCTGATCTGCAATTGGACCAGCTCATCTGAGTTACACTCCTCCTGAACTACCCATCCATGTTCCTCCATGTTTCTCTTTGTCAAGTTAACTCCACTGGGATCATGCGTCCCATGTTAAAAAACGGCAGCTATCTCTGCTCTCGCCCTGTTGAGGCCCCATCCTTGACCCCTACGGGTCACAACAGGTTTAGCCCCCACGGCTCCTTCAGGAACTAGATGTTTGCAGAATGTTTGGGGCACTTTCTGATTGGCTGAGGGACTATGCAACAAGATCGTGGAAGTCCTTCTCAGAATTCCCTTGTTCTGCTGTGGAAGCCTAACTTCTAATCCTTTCTCACAAATATATTTCTCATTCAAATAATCTCTCACCAGACCTTCTTCTGTGCAAATCTTGCTCCCCACTCTCAATTTTAATATGCTGTCCATAATAATTTACATTTTCCCTATATACTGAATGCTGGAGTGTGCTTATGTAAAAAATCTTTACTTTTTGAGGGGGAAAGCATGAACACATGGTCTCTACCTATGTTTCAGACTTTTCTCTTCCACTAACTACCTGTACAAAATCCTTTACTCTCCAGCTCAACTGAATATCGCTTTTCCCAAGAAGACCGTGACTGCTCAAGTTTCTGTCTTGGTTCCTGCCTTCCTGTCATTCCTCTGCAAAGGGGGTGTTGTGTGCATGTTTGTGTGTGTGTTACTATTTCCTAAAATCATCAAAATCTAGGTTACAACTATAAGAATTACAACAGCATTAAGATTTTTAGCAAACTGCTCTGTAATCAGGCTTTTAATTAACATAAGATGCTAAAACCAGACATAAGAAATGTGTAGTTTGCTTAAAAGGGGCAGAGCTAAGAGAGTAGGGTAGGAGGGAGCAGCTGAGTCCATAACTCCTCCAAGCAGATCTAGAAAATGCACTAGAATGATTCCTGATAAGGAAATCCAGAAAAAGTTACAGTGAGTTCTTTGTCTGGACCAGGTCAGCCTAGGGAGACATGAAAGGTCTGCTAACACAGGTAACAGGGCTGGGGCACTAAAACACTGTGCCTGGAGCACTCCAGATTCAGACAAGGCCACACCCAGATCCATATGGGATATTGTGATGGGTACAAGTGCCATCTGGCAATTTCATCAACCACTACCCAGTTATGGGTCACAGATCCAGAGCAGACTGAGAAAAGCAGACTGCAAATTGGGGGTGGGGGAGAGAGAGAGGGGAATGTAGAGTTTCCAGACAGGGAGGTTCTGGGTGGTACCAATAAAGGAGGAAGTTAGAAACAAGGAACAGCAGGGTGCCTCAGATCCCAGGAGCAGAGCAAGGTCTCAGATTAGCTTCTAGCTCCATCTAAAGCCTGTAGAGGAATATCTAGGTCAAAGGGGACCCTATAGTTCTGTCACTCTTAACCAATCAAACTACCTAGCTAGCTGGCTGATAGGGGCAGAGTAGTAGTAATCTTCTGTGGCTGACTGAAACTCAGGCCAGGAATTTGCAGAGATCACACCAGAAAGTAATCAAGCTTCATCCTGGATCAGACTACTCCAAAAGCACAGAAAGCTAGCAGGTTCCCTAGCCAGTCCCTGAGATCCTAGAATAACAAACACAACACAAAATAAACACCTCAAGAAAGCATCAACAGGACAAGACCTACCCTACAGAAATATGGCAGAGCTCAACCCTCACATCAAATCTAAGTCAGGCTGAAAGGATAGGCAAACAAAAAAAGAACCCCACAACAAACAAATGCAGAAGAAGAGTATGATTCCAAAACACCTACAAATAATTTGTCAGAGAAAAATACAGCTTGGGCAAAAACTCAATGAGAATTCCTGGAAAAGATGAAGTTAAAAAAAAAGAGTTAAAAGTTGTTTTAATAAATGAGATGAGAAATAAATGAGGAGAAAACTGCCAAAGAAATGAGAGCTATGGAATAAAGAACTGGAAAGAGAATTAACAGCTTGGCTGTTAAAGGGAGAAAACCTTGCCTAAGCAGCAAACTCTGAAAATTAGAATGGACCAAAGAGAAGCCAATGACACTAAAAGACAACAAGGCATATTAAAACAAAGTGTGAAAAAACAGAACATGGAAATTAAAGATCAAGGAGAAAAAAATTTAAGAATCACCGGACTATCCAAATGCTGTGACCAACAAAAGAGGCCATTTCATCACATTTCATGAAAACTTAAAACTACAAACCCAGAGCTCTTAGAAAAACAGGGTTAGGCTAAATGGAAGTACAAAGAGTCCACTGGTTATGTCCTTAAAGAAAGACTAAAATGAAAATGTCCAGGAACATCACAGCCAAAATCTAGAACTTTTAGGTCAAAGAACCAATACTGCAAGCAACCAGAAAAAAAGGAATTCAAATGTTAAAGAGCCACAATCAGGCTCACATGCACTTTAGCAGACACCACTGTAAAGTAGTGAGGAGCTTAGAATACCATCTTCCAGAAGGCAAAAGATATAGGCTTACAATGAAGAATAACTTGCTTGGCAAAACTGAGTACAAAGCTACAGGGGAAAAAAATGAACCTTTGATGAAACAGGACTTCAACGCATTCCTGATGAAAAGATCCAAGCCATGTAGAAACTCAAGTTCAAACACAGCAGTGAAAGGAAACTTAAAAAGGTAAACATGAATGCACAATGAGAAATAACTACAGAATGATAAACTACTTACTTTCAAAAACCTGTGTCTATTCTGAATCCTATCCTCAAGGGTCATGGATGCAATATAATTAGACAAGGCCTGGGAGTGCTTTTGTTGAATTACTTGGTGTCCTGATGATCTTAACAGAAGAATGGAAAGATGGGGGAAGAATACACTGAGGGAGAAGGAAAAGGAAGGTTAGGGAAAATTCTCTTTCCTAATGCGTGTGTAAGCAGAAGTCTGAACAAACACAGCTAGGTGGAGGTGGGGTGGGGAAGGTGAAGCAGCTGACACTTCAGCCTCACTCTTACTTGAACAGGTTAGAGGGGCTGCCCGTAAACTGGGGAAGGGCTGAACAAGCTCATCACATATACATGATGGAATACTATTACACCGTAAGAAATTATGAAGGAAATGACTTCAGAAAAATCTGAGAAGATACATAATCAAATGAAGTAAAGGGATTTGTTTTTCTTTAGGTCTCAAGCGTGTCATTTGGGAGGTGGGGAATTGGGAGTAGAAAGGGGTGATGGGGAGGGAAGGTGAGAAGGCAGATTTTTGCTGATTGAAGATAATGAAATACAGTTTTTTAAAATTTAAAACCCCAGCAGATAGACAGAATGTATAGAACTGTTGTAAATTTGAAGAGCTGCATTCTAGAATGTCAATGTGTAGCTCACTCTTGCTTTGTGTATTTACATTTCTTTACACTGAATGAAGTATTCAGTCTTCCTGTTCTTTTTATGAAATATCATGGACAACATACTACAGTGTTTCAGATGGATACTTAACTTGAGCCTAAGAGCCTAAGATTTAAATATCAATAAAAACATAGTAAAGATAATAGATAATTTTAACACGTAAAATTGAAACGCTTTTATAAAAACAAAATCTATGTACCTAGGATCATAAGGGAAGCTACTGATGGAAAAAATCTTTGCAACACACATCTCTGAGATCCAAGATACATCCATGGAATGAATGTACACATAAGATCAAGAGTTGTTCCCGAAGGGAAACAGTAAAAGAATATGAGCATTTTTCAAAAGGAAAATGGCAAATTGTTAATAACCATAAGAAAAAGTACTCAAAATCACTAATAATCACACAACGCTAACATTTCACCTACTACATAGCAAACTGGCAAAGAGGACAACTCAGAACAGCAATGCAAGATCACGCGTTATTATGCTGTCAATGAAAATTAATTGGCCCAAACATTTGTGATAAGAGAATGACTAAGTTGCTTCTTCACTTTGTCAAAGACAGAAAAAAGGTTCCACATATAAACAAACAATGGGCATTTACTGGGAACCTAAATATCAGTCTCTATGATAAGTCCTGGGAAAGTAAAGACAAAAGTGAAAAAAGCCTTGGCACTTATATTCTAATAACATTTTTGATAAGACTAAAAACCTGGAAATTAAGTAATGCTCATTGATTGGGGAATAGTTTTGAAAACTGTGGTGTGTGAACATAATAGAATATTATTGCACTGTGATGATGACGATGATGTTAATAGGTAACATTTATATGGCACTGGGCTAAGCACTTTACACTATTATCCTCACAACAACACTCGAACAACAGTGGCTACTCTTATCCCCATTTTAGAGACAAAGAAACTGAGGCAGACAGAGGTTAAGTGACTTGCC